GTCTCCAGATTGAAATCAAGGAGATGACCTTTTCTCTAGAAATTCAACGAGAAGCAAAAGTGCCTGTGTTTAAGATCAAGTACGTACAACTACAACATTATAAATGTTCTCAGACAATGTAGAGCAAATCAGATCACTGCCTGCAGTAAGCTTCAGCATTGATAATGCTCAAGAATATTATGCTCTTTGAAAGTCTCTAAAGATAACAACAGTATATTTACAGCAACATTCATAATTTTAGCGTGGTTTGCTGAGAATCAGGGGGTCTTCTGTAAGCTGGACATGCTCAGGTTTCATCTTCATATACAGATTTTATCTTTAAGTATCTCTGAATGAACACAGAGCATCACATACAGTGTATCTGCTTTTATGATACATGCACTAGATCTAAGAAACCTAGAAAATTCCTGCTGAGATTAATTGTTCTTGAGAACAGTCTCCTCAGATTAGATCCACAGTCCAGCTTTTTTTCCCCCCAAGATGTGACAGTAGCATTAAAAACCATTAATCAAGTGATCTACAGTGTCTGTGCAGATAAAACAAAAAGAAACAAAAAAAACCCTCCAGAACTTTGTCTTTTCCTATGCAGCACTATCCCAGGTTCGACAACCTTAATTGCAGAAGGCACAAGCGCCACGTTAATAGTGAAAATGAACCGAAACCCACAAGGACACCCGAATGTTGAGATACCAAGCTGCATAATGAACGCCGATACCAGCAGAACAACGTCCACTGGCTTTACAGGGTAAGAAAAGGGGCTTCCTGCTTCTCTCTGACTCTAACTGAAAAATAGTTCAACAAAAGTTTTCTTTATTCAGAACACTGAACTGGGAAAGAGGCCCATTGTCTCATAGACCTCTATGCAATCAGACCAGAGAGGTCGCCCCCTGCTGGAAATTACAGAGAATTCTGGTTTAAGATACTTTTCGGTACTGGAAGATACATGTACAGTGACAACCCCACACCCACGACACCCAGCTGTTGCAGCTGGGGCTGATTGGAATTTTAGCTATGTAACCAGTAAACTGTTTTCTCAGAAATGTATATGTGGCCACTGGCTGAGTTAATCTTTTTAATTAGTTCCGAGTAGTAATGGTCCTGCAGGAGCTGGTAGATCAACAGTCTGTTAGACAAGTCCTGCTGATGAATGAAAGGATTTCTGAATTTTGTTTGTTTTTCAGGGTTTTTTGGAACGGATTTTACCGGGTTCTCTTCAGTCAGGTCAGTTCCAACTGAAACACAGCTGAAGCCTGTCTGAATGAAACCCATGGAGTGTGCAGCTTAGGATAAACACCTTGTGTACGACTACACAGATATGAGCAGTGTAGGGACTAACGTGTTATTAAGTAACTACGTTACAGTAACTACGTTATTATTGTGGTAACGAGCACGGTAACTAGTTATTATGCCAAAATCAGGAACACATTAATCGTTACTGGGATTTAGATAGGGTCGTTATTCGTTACTTCATGTGTTGCGTTCGACTTACTTCGGAAATAGGAACACGGACGGAATGATGTCACACTAGAGTAAACAGCGTTCAGGTTAGCCTCGTCAGAGAAGCTGGGATTCCAATATGGCAATGCCCTTGAAAACGGTTGTTTTGCTAGCCCTCAACAAAAACAAATTACTACTAAACACACATGCAGCCATAGCTGGATGGGCCAATGTTTTTTTTTTTTCCTTAACGGTACAAACAATGATAAGTGGTGGATTGGCCAGATGCTGGCAGATGTGTAAAAATAACTCAAGTTGTTTGGTGGTGGCGGAGCTTCCACTGTTTCAATAATATTGTGGAGTGGGGTGGAGGCCAGCAGGTGGATAGGGGAAAGGTGAGGCGGTCCGAGTCTCAGGTGAACTGAACTTCTGATAAGAAGTTATGACCTGAAGTCTATCTGGGTCAGCTATAAACCAAGTTTAGGTGGAGTTTATTTTCGTTGTGCTGACTTTTTACAGTCAGTTACAATAACTCGTACTGCGTACTAGCTAGCATGATGGAGTTTCTATACAGCTGGGTGGGTGCTATGATGTTACTGATGGTGAACTTTATTTTATACATAAGGTTAGTTAGTAGAGTTGTCAACTGTCACCTAAAAACCGGAATCGTCTCACATTCAGAGAAAATATTACGTGTTTCGTATTAAGGTGAAAAGGAACACAGTTTGTCCCGTACTTCAGCTAGAATGAACAGCGTAAAGACATAAAGCTGGATTTATCCTGTCGTTACGCTGTCAGCTGCCTCTTCTTCTCTTATCCTCTCCCCCTCCCTCTCCTGTTGCTACTTCAGTCATGACTCATGAAACTGATCAATGATCAGCTTTTCTCTCTTGCTTGTTTATCGCCCACTTTGCGCCAGAAAGAAACCAGCAGATGTCGCGTTAAACAACAGCAGCACGTTTAAGCTTGATCAGCTGTTGTTAGAATTTACTTAATATTAATTTCTACTATCAGCTGATGTTTGCTGGAGCCACAGCTGTAAAAGCTGCTGGTCATGATGTCGGTTTGTTTATCTGGTGAGAGGGCAACATGAAGATGAAACCAGGAGATGTCCTTAATGGATCATCAGAGCTGAACAGGTGATGGAGAAACAGGTTTTACCTTTTAGGAGACATGAATGAGTTGAAGGGAAGTTATGAACTGTTTCTGAGAAATAACACCAGGATCCTTTTCTGACAGTAGCTGACAGCTGGTAACTGTGCAGGGGGGTCAGGTAGGGCATTAACAGGAAGAGGGGGGAACAAGGAAATACTTTTCATTCGTATTCTCATTTAAAATGTCTCGCTTTTAATTAATAATTATCTGAAGCTTACAACCAAAGTTTTTATCTGGTGTAAAATGTATAGAAATCCATGGGTCTCATCATAATTTCTCCAGAAGTAAGTACTGTATATGATGCCAGTATTTTCCCACATTTTCTAGATTATGTACCAGTACTGTAGAGAATAACAGAATAGGGAGGATGGTGTAGGTTTAAGTTTATTAGATTGACACATATCCATTCAAAGGCTTTATGATTTTTCCTATAATGGTGGGCCGGTCTCTAGTCAAAATGCCCGTGCTGATTTTTTTGTCCCAGTCCAGCCCTGTATGCAGCTCATCTGCAGTCTGGAGTTACCTACATCTTCCTACTCAGAGTTCTGAGTACAATCGAAAGCAATACGACTGCAGTTTCCGTGTTGGACGTAAAAAGTGCACGTGACGTAGGCTAGGATCGTGGGAACAGTCGACGAGGGTCCAGGCGTGGGATTTCTCTAATGGAAAGATGCACATTATTTTCTTTCTGTTTGTAGGCGGCACAGTGCACTTGTGGCAGGACAGTGCTAAGATGTAAGCAAGCTAGACGACTGGCATCCTTGCTAGGTATCCAATTAGGGAAGCAACACATTAACAGGAGAATTCTGTGTAAAACCAAAGTTATTTTCCCTGGTAACTAGTTACTTTGAATGTAACAAGTAACTTGAAGTGACTGAGTTACTAATTTAAAGTAACTTACCCAGCACTGGAAATGAATGGTAGCTCTGCCAGGCAACCTGAGATTTTGGCAGAGAAATCCACCCAAAATGAAGCTGCAACACACACACAAAAAGCAAAGACCGTAGAAACGTCAAACGTCATCTATCAGTGCTCAGATTTCTGAGCAAAGACAATATAGTGACCGGCACAATATACAAGAAATCGAATAAATGAATAATAATAATAAGAAATAAATGAATGAGGCAAAAACAAATATACCTGTTAAGTAGTAACACAGATTTTATTCTATGTGTCTTCAGACATAATCTTCCATAACTTCAATTAAATTGTTTTTGTTATAAAGAAAATCTAATCACCTGAATATGCTTTGTATTGTAAGGTAAACATTCTTCAATAATACAGAGGAAATCCCAACAATCAGATGACCCAAAAGTACTAAATAAAGTGCCAACAGTTTTGATACTTTGTTCAAAATAGTGATTTAATTTAACCACTTAAACAGCAACTGTGATGTCAAAAAGCTTTGGTTCCCACACAGCGCTCTGTACAATGTGCATCATTCACCCGTATTCATGCAAGCGCTTTTTTTAAAAAAAAAATGCTTTTTAGCTAGCATTCACACACAGCTACATCCTTAGCAATGCACTGGGGCCAACTCAGGCTTCAATATCTTGCCCAATGGTATTTTGACATGCAGACTGGAGAAGCTGTGGATCAAACCATCAAGCTTCCAATTAGTAGATCACCTGCTGTACCTCCTGAACTACCACACACCACATATGAGAGATGTTTAAAAAAAAAAGAAATCTTTTATAGTATTAATCTGCCTTTTGCAGATCTTATGAAATCTGTGTGGCTCAGAAGTGTTTGTGTGTCTGTAGATCTGCCTTGTTCTGCAGCCTATCATCAATTATAAGCTGAGGGGTTTGCCTATGATGAGGACAGTCGATGAAGACCGCCAATTAGTCTTGGACTACTCCTTGAGCAGTGATATTGCAGTGACATCGAGGAGCCTTGACATATCTTTCAAGGTAATAAAGAAAAAAAAAAAAAACACTGAATTATCCTGACCCTGAATATAACCTTACAGACATTAACACCTGGTTAAAAGTCAGAGCATAGCAACACAAATAAACTGTAAGGTGTAGTGACACTGGTATGGTGTGTTTACTTGAAGCCAGCTGCTGTCCCTGCTGGACAACATTAGGCCTTTTGGAAAGTGTCTTAGCATCTGGGTTAAATAGTAAATGGTCTGTATTTGTATAGCGCTTTACTCAGTCCCTAAGGACCCCAAAGCACTTTACACTACATTTAGTCATCCACCCATTCACACACTTAGCATCTGGGTTAATAGTAATGTGATCTAATGAAATCATGTATTTACCATGAAATACACACCAGTGGATGCATTGCGATTCTTGGGCATGTCTCCTTCATGATTTTATGACTTGGAAGTTTGATTTTGCTGCCCTTGTTGCCATTTCTACGCTGTAAATAAAAAAATTATCATTCTGTGTGTGTTTCAGGGCTTAATGTCTGTACAAGGGAAGGCTGTGGACCCTGGTTCAATAAGGCCAGTCAAAGAACCAGTTTTCACAGAGACTAACAAGATGATCTACGTGGGCTTCTCTGAGTTCTTCTTCAATGGGGTAGCCATGGCAATCTACAATTCACGACCATTTGAATTTAATGTTCCAGAGGTGAGAAAAGCTGATGAACACCTGCTCTCACTGGAAGAAACAACACCAGATCTTCTGCCACTTTTAATATGATAGGGAAATAAATTACTGAATGCCATTTTAAAATTTTGTGCTACTCCTGCATCTTACTGCTGCATTTCTTCCTAGCTGAAGAACTCTCATTATTGCTTCTATGGTGATCATCATAACAGACTGTTTTGGCAAAAGTATTTGCTTATCTGCCTTCACATACATATGAGTTTAAGTGTAATTTGTAAGGTCAGAAATTGTATAAGAAGGCCTTGCTCGCAGTGTCCACTCCAATTTATCCCAAAGTTGTTCTGGGGTCATTGGGAGCATGAAATTGTCCAAAATGTCTTGCTATGCTTAAGTATTAAGAGTTCCTTTCACTGGAACTCAGGGGCTAAGCCCAGCTCCAGAAAAACAACCCCACACCATAGAGAGAGTCAGAGTTAGCACAATGCTCTTAGACAAGTGCCGTTTTAATGGCAACCACCAAACCCCAGGTCGTCAATGAAGAAGCATAAATAAAATAACAATCTAACACGCTTTCCACTCACTCAACTCAGGGAGTCACCCCAAATATTCCAGAGAAGGTCTGTACACAAGAAGAAGGAGGAGGATGATGATGATGATGATGATGATGATGATGATGATGATGATGATGATGATGATGATGATGATGATGATGATGTGGTTAGTCACGAGGGAAAACAGACTAGGAGCATTGACAAGTTAGAGGACCCAAGGTCTACTAACCACATAGCTTAAAAAAACAGCAAAGAATGAGTCGCAATCCCCACCTTATGTAGTGGCTTACTGATTAGGTGATGTGGGACAGGTGGTGGATTACTGCAGGTGTGTTCAGCCAAAGGTGGGACTCCTTAGTGGGTCCCGCACATAAGACTGACACACATATGCAGAAGAGAGAGCGATGGGGAGAAAAACAAAACTTGGAGCCGCCAGAGGACTAGAGGACCATGACACACAATCCCCCCCCCCCCCCTTTTTTTTAAAGGATCCATTTCTTTAGTCAAAGTATTAATACCACACAAATATTTTAACAAAGGTTCAAACTCTCTTCTAATCACCTGTTTTCTTCTCTACAGCTTGAAGGAGGGCAAAGTGTGTTAAATCTTGGCCTGAAAGCTCTGGGAATTAAACCGGTACTAGACTCTACAAAGAGTTTATGTTAGAGAGTCAAATAAGTTTCACCTTAAACTTCATTCATCATCAAACATCATTACATGAAAATAAGCTGTTAACATGGCTTTTTTAATAATATTCAAAGGGTCGTTGGACAGTGAAGCTGACTGAGGATCCAATCATTGAAATCAGAAAGGGTAAACTCTCTGCCACTGTGCATTTCAAAGCACAACATGAAGATCAACAAAAAAGTTTTCTTCAGGTAAGCACATGTGCAGATGCAGTGTTTAACAAATATGCAAACTCTGTGCTGGTATTTACTCCGCATCAGACTTTATCTGCATGTTTACTTTAAGAGATGGGTACAATAACGGATGTATGTTAGCTATCCTTGACACAACTTTATCACTCACTGCAGCCTGATGTTACTGCATATTATATTAAGAAAAAGATGTACTTTCAGCTTACGTGTTGTGTAATGAGAACACAAATAAATCACAAACAAATTGATAAGCTGCCTGAGAACTGGACTTCAAGCTTTCTTCAGTTTGACTCTGCGACATGTCTCTGAACATCTGCAGAATAGAGCAGCTCAAAGAAAGTTCTGATGCTTTTATTGTGAAAGTTTGGCTACATGTAGAAAATATAGAAAATAGAAAACTCACACAGCTGTAACAGCTGACTGTGGGAGTCTGTGTGAGCTGTGTGGTGTGGATGCAAGATACATGGAAGTGACTAACCACACATGCAGAAATGATCAAACTTTCTTTCCTGTAGAAATGTGAATTTAATATGGATGTCAAATTCAAAGAACGGCTCCTCATTCTGAACATTCAAAAAATAAAGTAAGTAAGAACACAAATTGACACTGACTGTATAGTACACTCTGTGTATACATTAGTACTCTAGTGTTGTATATTGTGAGAATTTGCAGTGAAACTTTTTCAGATTTAAGGATGAAACTGGAAAGATCATAGACAAAATTGAGGTAAGAAGACTGTGCTCTAATAGATTTACATCCATTTCTCTATACCAGCAGATTTTTATAATAATAATAATAATAATAATAATAATAATAATAATAATAATAATAATAATAATAATAATAATAATAATAATAATAACAACATGTGTGTGTCTCTATTTGTGCAGACTGGTGTTGTTAATTTCCTTCTTAAAGTCATAAAGAGTAAGCACTACCATACAGATACCTCACCTGACTCTCATGATATTTTATTACACTTTGAACTGGATTGTAATCTATGTGTATGTGTGTTTAGAGTGGTTTGTTAAAGAAATACCCATCCCTCTTCCTGCTGAGCTGAGCATCATTAATGCAAACACCCAGTGTGAAGAAGTAAGTGACCTTAATTTCCTTCTGCCTGAACACTAATGTGCTAAACTTTCAGCAGTCCTCTACACCACACTGATAATTTTTAAAACTATCACAGTAAAAACATGCAGAGTCATTATTTATTCATCTGCTGTTCCATGATGAATATCAGTTTCATAAACTATGATCTTGATCCATGCTCAATCATCCAGGTAAATCCCAGAAAGTTGATTCTGTTCATCTGGACAAAATCTGAAAATTCAACATCCAGAAATCTGAGATTTCTGGGATTAATGAATGAGCTGCTGCCACTCAGTCACATGTAGCCTGTTTCTACCTAATACTACCTGTTACTGCCTTTTATTGCAGGGCTATCTGGTGGTAGGAGGAAGCCTGACCTTTAACCCTCAGAGCAGCAGCAATGCTGGTGGATAAGCAGCAAAGGCTGAAATATGGAGTTTATCATCCTCTGAATGTCTGGTTCTTTATGCTAAATATAAAATCTGCGTTTGAATAGCTCAGAAAGTTAAATCTATCAGATGCAGATACTGGATATACTGCATGTACTGGCTGTTTCTATAATTTTGTGTGTGTGTGTGTCTGTAATAAAGGTTTCAGCAGAAAGTTTCACCAACCTGTTCATGTCTGTTCATGTCTCTAATCATTTTTTCTATTTTAAAGCACACCCACTGAGGAACAAACGCTGGTAACTGGTGATTCTGTTTTGAGACATCTGAAAGTAGACGCACAGCATCACAATTTTCTGTACATTTGTGTTATTAGTAAAATGGAAAGTCTTGATTTACAGGCACTTCCTTTCACTGTAACCCATTAAATGTACTTTTTGTTTATAGCTGTAACCTTACATTTCTATACAATTACAACCTAATACACCATTTCCTCAAAAATTCTCAAGTTAAAACTGTTTAAATTAATCTATGCTACTTTTATTCACCTAGACTCAAAAACTATACTAAAATATAACGACTAAACAGCTAAACATGAACAAAATAATCTAAGGAGCTTGGAAAGAAAAGCGTCCAAGCTCAGACTACGATGACCTGGATGACTGAGAATCTTCAAAGACATGAACAAAATAACTCAATCTTTAAAATTTTGAGCATTTTTATTTCTTTGAAATCAGTTTGTCCTCATGTGTGTTCATATACATGCATCCAAGTGGATCCAAAGTACTTCAAACAGGATACCTGCTGTGGTTGTTTTCCATCAGCAAAAATGTTAATGTGTGTGTTACATTAATGTCTGTCTAATCACGATACAATATACATATGTAGTGAAACACAAAACACAGAAACACACAACACATACAGATCCTGAAGACCATGAAATGTAGTCTGTTATAGCGACTCGCATTCACTTCATCAATGAGTTAGAGTGAACATTTGTCCCAGATTAACTTTGTAGTGTCTTTACCTTACAATATAAAGTGACTTGAGAAAAGAGTTGAATAAAACTGAACTGAGGTGTTTCTGAAATGTGGGTTTATTAGAACAGGATGGATGGATGCCCCTCTCAACACAGGACCGATGGCACTTTTCCATATTTACTAAATGAAACATATAATATTTTAAAACAGATTACTACACCAAACTTAAACATGAAAGTGAATTTGCTGGATTAGAAGTGCTTGTTCTCACGAAGACTTTTAAACTGTAAACAGAAACTAATGCCGGGCTCACGCTGTGCGATTTTTTCAGTTGCGTTATTCAGCTCCTGCTCAAACTGTACGATTGACTCGCAGGGGTTATAAGTTCGTAGGTCACGATGCAGGTCTCACACTATACGACCCGATGCTCGGATGTGACCCGAGTGCTCACACTGTGCCTCCATAAAATGAAGGTTATAACAGAAAATCTGTCGCTCGCTCTCCCTCTCTGTCTTTCACTCACACAGACACACACCACCATCAACTTTGCTAAATTGCTAATGAAAAACATGATCAGGCAGCTGTGATTGAGCAGCAATGTCTATCCAACTATTTTCACGGTTGTTGTGGTCGTGATGATTTTGTGAGGTGTTGAGAATATATTCCTTAATGTACATCAACGTTAAAGAGAATATAGTTGTGATCGCTTGCAGCATTATAATATTGTGGTGATGGGTGTAAGGATACAAAATAGAAAATAGGCCTGGGATGGGAACAAAGAACTGAGGTACAGGGCAGGAGGACAATCAACCCCCACCCCCAGGGCATGAAGCAAGAGTTACTGAGGCTGGGGAGCAGACAAAAGGAGATGGGGGTCAGGGTGTCAGGACCCTTGGCCACTGTACTAGTGTATTTCCATTGTGGGGGTGTTTACTGTAGGGGGGAGGAGACCAGAAGTTATAACTGTAACTGTTGTGTGGAGTTCTTTAGATCAGCCTTTAGCATAGGACTGCATAGGAATGCAGTGTGCTGATCTCCAGATGCATCTGTAAGAATAATGGGTAATAAAAGGATTGTGTAAAACATGGAAACATCTCAGCGTGATCTCTACCAGGACCAAAAGAATCGCAGAGAACGGCGTTGTCTCGACAGAGGCCACATCGAAAAGGCTCGGATGAGTTTTCCAAAGTTCTACAAGTTGTGCCTCCATCGCTTGTGTCCAGATCACACGCTGCACTGCCGTGCTGCTCCATCTTTTTCACCGACGTTTACGTGTTTGCGCGTGAGCAGTGTGAGAAACTGCGGTGACCAAGCGATTGATGATCGGGAGCTGGTCGTGAGGTGTTAATCTCTTCTCGTTACCCCATGTATACTACACGACGCACGATGAAGGCCAAAATCGGGCCGATCGCCAAAACGGTCGCACGACTCAAAAATCGGCTCAAAATGGGCCAAAAATCGCACAGTGTGAGCCCGGCAATAGTGAATAAATTCTCATCAGTGACAACATTTCAAAATCCTCAGTGCACATTTTCTTCTCCATTGTGCTCAAAATGCTCTCAGCTGTATAACTTTAAGCAGAGGAGATATTTCACGACCATTAAATGTTAAAGAAGCCTCTTAACATGACGTCACGGTTATGAGCAAAAACCTCTGCTTGTGCTCACAGACCCTAAATCGCAGCAAGTAAGACAATCACAATGCAAGTGACTACAAAGTTACATCAGAGGCTAGGAAAAGAGCAAGCATGAAGTGAGTCATTGCTTGTTCTTGGTACTTATCTTCATGTACCAGTGTGATAAAATGTCAGGGCCCTGCGCTCAGTGACCCAGGGTTTAAGTTTTGGACTGTGTTACTGATTTAAAATTATATTCTTTAGATTCTCTGGGTTGTTTATGTTTGGCTTGCTTGTTATAACTGCTCCTGAAGGTTTTTCATGTTCGAAGTAGAATAAGGGGCCATGCTCCAACTGATGTTTAACCGGTACTGTATTTTAATCTTCTTTTCACCAGCAAACACTGTGGAAAACTATGGTGAGATGATCAATGAAAAACACAGATATTATGCCAGCAAAATAAAATGACAACTTAAATAAAACAAAATTGGCCGGTCTGTTTTAACAGCCCTTAAATGAGCTTAACAAAGATTTGTCACTATCAAATTCAGTTCAGTGGGTTGTTCAATTAGGTTGTTCATTGTTCTTTCAGCAGGCCATTCAGTGGGTCGTTCAGTCAGTGGGGAGGGGCGTGTGGATTCCCATTCATTTCCTCTGGCGCTCACCTTTGACCGGGAACACCACAGATGTAAGAAGGTTGATAAAACCAAAATTCAATGAAAGAGGCGATCATCACTTTCATATGTTCAAGTAATAGTGTGGAGGATATCTTTAGTTGTAAAGTTGTAAATCGGTCAGATTTGACCAGAACTCAACATAATATAGTTCCACATTTATAATCAACAGTGATGTGAAACAACTACAACTCTGAATCTGATTCAGTTTGTAGTTTGCAAGCTTGAAATCATATCGCTGCTAACACTGTACTCTCATCTCCTCTCAGGGAAAAGGCCTGAACGGCATTGAGTCAAACACATTTCAATTTGGATTCTAACAAAGTGAAAACGGGATTTACTATTTTATTTTCCAATTATTTTAATTAATTAACTTTACCATTTGATCTGAGTTTCTTTTACTTATTTTTTCAGTATTTATGTTTCATCCTTCACAGTTACAGAGTGACTAACCAGACACATCAGTGCCAGACAGCAGGCACATGTGGGTCTAACCTGGCCCACTTTGGGACCTTATAACTCAGTGATGACTCTGGAAATGTTGTGTGAGCTGAGGTTGGTCTAAAATGAGTGTTGTTTGGGCCAAATGTGACACAAATATCACAACACAACATCGGTCAGCTCATTTGGTGCTAAATTGAATTGAAAAACACTTGGAAAAGAAAAAAAGACCCAACAAAAAAACAAGTTCAAGCTGACAACGCACCACTGATTAAACTGATCTAATCACATTTTTAAAATGTGGAGTTTGCAGACTTTAGACGCTCTGTAGGCTGTTAAAGACTAGAATGATAAACTTAAGGAATAAAAAGATCCTGCAGTTATTTTCGACAGAACGAGGATGGTATCTGTTCTGTGTAAAAAACACTCTTTTGAACTGTGCAGCAGTGGGGGAGGTGACACTGAAGCCCAATGTGCCCATTTTGACCTCTGTTTACAGTCCCAGGCTCATTGGGAGCTGTGCAGGTTACATTTTAATTTTAGTTTATTTTGTTGTATATTGTAGTTTAAAAAAAGTCAACGATCAGGTTAGGTGTCAGCCTCTGCAACAAGAAGTACCAAAGAAATCTGTTTAATTATTATCAAGTGCTGCATTTGCTCTCTGAGTGTTTTCCCCCTGCTGATGCCTGAAGCTGATCTCAGGTGGTATGTTTGTCTCTCTGGAACTGGATCAGCAGGTTTCCACTAAAACTAGACCTGCACACCTTTTAAAATAAAGAATTTAAAATGCCCAATGTATCATGAAGGTCATTCACTTTTTAGTAGGGTTCCTGGTTAATCTAAAGAAAACTATTTAGTCAGCCACCAATAGTTCTCCTACTTAAAAAGAAGAGAGAGGCCTGTAATTTTCATCATAGGTATATGTCAAATATGAGAGATAAAATGAGAAAAAATCCAGAAAATCACATTGTTGATTTTTTAAAGAATTTATTAGAACATTATGGTGGAAAAAGAGTATTTGGTCACCTACAAACAAGATTTCTGTCTCTCATAGACCTTTAACTTCTTCTGTAAGAGGCTCCTCTGTCCTCCACTTGTTACCTGTGTTAATGGCACCTGTTTGAACTTGTAATCAGCCCAGCTATCCACAACCTCAAACACTGACACTACAAACTCCACTATGGACACCAGAAACTAAATTGCTGACTGAATCTGCAATAGGTAAGCAGCTTGGTGTGAAGAAATCAACTGTGGGAGCAATTATTCGAAAGTGGAAGATGTACAAGATCAGGTGTCACGTTCAGGTCACATCTGACCAACTTACAGCTTAAAACAATCATAAATATTGTGTTTTACATCTGATTGCCTCAAGGCCTAATGATATCCTCCACACCATGAACTTAACCCTTTAAGACCTACCATAGATCCAAGTCCGCCAGAGCTTA